CAAGATAAAAATTATATTTAATTTTTATTACTTAATTTAAAATTCTATATGATAAGAGAATTTTTGCTGTCATTAATATAGAAAAATTCTATGTTTTTTTTTATATGAAATTTATTGTAATAATTTCTTGTTTTTTATAACAAAAAGTTTTCTTTAAATTATTATTTATAATTATAATATAAATGGCATAATATTTTTTGGTTGAATGGCATTTGAGGGTGCAAAGTCTTTAATTTTGTCTTTAAGAAATAAATATACTGTTACCTCTAGTGGTCATTATTATAACTAAAATTATAAGTGCATTTATCGTTAAATCTTAATCTCGTAGCAGTCTCTACGAATATCGCTGCCATGCCTTGTTATAAAACCAATATTCCTCTTTTTTCTCTCTCTCATTAGTTAGTACAGTGCAATAATTAAGTAGTACTCTAGTGTTAGGTGTCACTTTTCAACATTAATAATGTTATATTAAATTTGCATTAGGACTCGTATTCAAACACTTGAAAAATTTCACGCAATTTAGTTTAAGACTGATTTAAATGAATTTTTTTTTTTTTTAATTTTTTTCACCAGATGTGCACTTTGTTTTAATGCCTTCTCTTGCTTTCATATTAAAAATTTAAAAAATCCAAAAATATTTTAAATTTTTTTTTATTTTACTTACAAAGTCTTTAACATTTTTATAAGAAAGCAAACAAGAAACCAGAAAATTTCCAAAGAAATCTAATAATTTTTCCATTTTCCAATTTTTTCATTTTAACTGAATAAATTTTTTTTTTGTTTTCCACATAAACCTTAAACCGTTACTTTACTGAAAAGTAATTTTTTCTTTTTTGTTGTTTTTTTTCTCTTTTCATTTACTTTACACAAAAATTTGAATTTCAAATAAATTTAGTGTAAAGAATATTTTTCATTTACAATTTAATTAAGTATTTGTAAGTGATGCTTTCAAGAAAATTTTATGTCTCAATTGAGTAATTCTTGAAATATTTCAGCTACAAATCTCATTACTTAGTAAAAAACTAATACTTTGTTATCACTCATTTTTAGATTATACTCAGCGGAACGCATTAAATATTACTCTGCCGTCATATGAAGATATGCTATTATTGTAAGACTTCAAATGTTGCGCTCTCTTATGATAATCGCTGACGTGGTTTTTATTCTCAATTTGTTTAGTGGAACACTGTTTCATCGTCGTATTAATTTACATGATAATTACTGCTTGATCATAAGCAGTTCTTCTAATATATATAAAATTCCGGTTTTCACTATGACTGCATAGCTCCTTACCGTTTGAAAAATTTTATGATATTTATTCATTTAAATACTATACTTAAACTGCTCAATTAATCAAGACTACAAATTTGAAGACTAAAACTACAAACTAGATCAAATCAAAGAGCAATTGCACATTGTAAAAATATCATTGCCAATATTAAACAAAGCAAACGTATGCCAATTTACCAGAACAAGTTCTTTTAATAATATTACTCGTATTAACTTTGCTATTGGGTATGAATATGAAATTAATTCAAAGAAAACTAAAATTAATATCACCAAACGCCTGTACTTTGTTTATATATCGTATATCTTTTTCTTAGTCATCTATATTGCATATCCAACTTATCTTATATCGTAAGAAAATAACAATTGTTTTCCTAAATATATGCAATTTATTTTATATAGAAATTATCAGTGTGCAAAGTAAAAATTTAAAAGAAATACTTCTCAATAATAAATTCATAAATTAAAAAAACAAACTTAGTGAGTTTCCTAATAACTATTCCTCCTTCCAGATTTTCCTAATTAAATTTTATATTTCATGCGAGAGTAAATTTTATAATTGTTAATATTTTTTCAACTATGTATTAAATTCGACACTTATTCAAAATGGCTGGCAAGAGACTTATTTTATTTGCATATGACTGTCACTTGTAAATGAAAGTGATTCACCTGATTGACTGATCGTCGAATTAATGATGTTCTGGGAAAGTACCTGGTATTTAATCACTATTTTTCCACTATAATCAACATTTGCTTCACAACAAATTTCAGTGATTTTCCCTTGTTACCATTGTGATCATTTACATTGTATGCTGAATATTTTAGACATATTGGTGATTTTTCATTAATTCTCAGCAATGTCTTATACAGAGTACACAATTCAAAAGCATTAAGGATAAACCCTTAATGGTTTTGAAAAAAAGTACTTATATAATAATATATTTTTTTCATTACCAGCTGGTGTTTTCCCTCCTTTTCTCTTCTTCAATGTATTCATTGACTGTGCCACTATAAGTACAAAACATTATTTTGTTACTCGTTCAAAAGTTTTACAAAAATAAATTAAACTTTAATATTAATTATTTAAAGATACAATAACGCTGTTTTTATTGAATTTCTAATATAAGGAGGCAAATAGTGTGAAAATTTGTTACAAAAACGGAAAGGAAACGAGAAATAATCTTTATTTTTATGAAAATTTTTTTACTAACGCATAAATATAAAAAAAAGTTTCTGATCTACTTTATTAATACAATATCGTAAATTTTTGTTCATAAAAGCAGAAAAATAAAAAAAAAATAAAAATTTATTTTCACTTTTTAGGCTTCTTTTAAAGCTCGCTTGGTCCCTTTTTTTTTGTACACATAATATTTATTTGAACCCTTTATTGGTCTTATTTTAAATTTATTACATAAATTGATTTTATTAGATATATACACTTACATTCTTATTTAAACTGAGCGAATATTTAGATTTATATATTAGTTTCTGTAAATAGAATCAGGATTACCAGAATGCTTGTCTTGTGTATTGTCTCAAAATAATTAAAAAATGTTGAATTGTTTAAGAAATTCCTTGGTTTATAGGTATTGTCATGCTTCAACACTTTTATTGTAGATTCTAGATTACTGAAGAGACATATGGGCAAATGAACTCCACTCCTCCAATCCTTTCAAGCAGTCAACCGTGGTTTATTGAAACCCTTCTATATTCCGAGTCATAAATAAATACCTGGAAATAACCCTCGAGGAGTTGAACGTCAATTCTCCAACACTAAGAAAGTCCCGCCCAACAAAATCTACGCAAATGGCAGTCCGATCTTCCCAGTTTTTGCAAGTGATATTTCACCAGACAATGCCCAATGAAGAAGCCAATACTAACACGAACCTCATCTCAATCCATCCACCGCAGCTCCAAAGAGATTTTTCTTGAGTAACATTTTCATAGTATAAAACCAAAAATTATATACCCTGTTTTAGTTTGGTACTCTTGAGAAAATTTATTTTCAGGATTTCAGAAAGTTCATTTTTCAGAATCAGATAATCTCTAGGGGTGCCCTCTCATAAGATGACTTTCTCAAAATTTTTTCACAAACCATCGAGTTTCTCAAATGTTCTCTTCAAAGCTTTTTAAAACATTTCATATACGACTGTATTTTACCAATTTTATCTGAGATTCCTTCTGGGATTTTTTTTCGAGACCTAAAACTTCGGAAGATATTTATTGAACTTATCGGAATGAGTTGGTAACCCTATATAATATCGTTATATAAGTTAAACTTTTATATTTGTTCATTTTAATAGATCTAATATCTAAAACAAAATATAAAATTTAAAATAGCTATGTCAAGCAACACCATTCTCACAAAAAAAACTAAACCAAAAATCTATCTCTATATAAGTGGAAATAACAGTAATGGGTAGACAAATAATGTGATGACGAGGGTTGTGATTCCCTTTAAAAAAAAATTCTTTTCATTTTCTCCTATTTTTATCGAAGAAAAAAGTAAAGTTTTCCCAAAAAAAAAGTATTATTTATACATTCTTTAAACGATAATGAAGGAGGCTCAGATTTTGAAATCCAATTAGAAATTTATTAGACATGGGCACCAAAAAACAAAAAAAAAGAAACAAAAACAAAGAGAAAAAAGAGAGACAAAACGATTTTTGTATTAAAAAAGTTCCTTTTTTTTTATAACAAAATGAAAAATGTTAAAGGATGACACACAACATTTAATGGCTATAATTGATGCCAAAAGTATAGAAAGGATAAAAAAGTTACAAAAAGGTGTTAGTGAGTAGATAAGAGAAAAATTTATCAATGATTTTTTTCTGTTTTTAATTGATAATCAATTATTTATTAGCATTTTCTCCAACTTTGGTCTTTCTCTATCGTTAATTTTAATTAAGATTTCGATTTAAATGAATACATACGATTTTTGTTTTATGGTAAGTGTTGACAGGATTCGTTTCAGAATGTATTCAAACTTTAGAGAGTATAAGCCCGTCAAATTTCATCTCGTTAATACATTTAAAAATCAGCTGAAATTTCTCTATTTATATATTTTCCGCAAGACAAGGGAGTTTAGACGGTGAATAAATAGAGAAGCAAAAAATTAACGGTTTTTGAATCATTTTTAAGAACTTAAAATTGTCCTAACTCTCTTGCTGTATTAACCGATTTATTTTATACACTTTACCATATTTACATGAGACAACATGCATTTAAATACTTGCTTAACAACTAATTGCAATATTACTTGTCACAACAATCCAATTTAATTACTCTTACTTTCAAAATAAATCTACAGAAACTTCACTTATTGTGTTTAAATTAACTTCATAAGCTCTACACATTTAAATTGAAATCACTTATTTCCAGTGGTAATTAAAAATTTTTTGTTTTTTTACTCAGACTCAGACAATGAATTGCTCTGTTTTTTGATTGTAGTTTTATATTCAAAACAAATTATTAATTCAAATTCGTGTCACCTAAAACTAACAACAAAACAAACATTATTAACTTGTTGTTGCAAAAAAAAAAAACAAATAAATCTCTTAAGTCGTAAAACATTTCAAAAGCACGATAACACAAAAAAAAAGGATAACATGAAATTTTATTTTTCTATTTCTTTGATTTAAAAGCATTTTCACTTTTATTTTTAATTTATTCTAATCTAATTTCATTTTATTACTCTACTTTTTTTTTTACAGGTAAGTGACACTTGAAAACATCCATTATTGTGTAAGCATTCATCAATGTCAAATTCTCATAGTCGTCCGCCACGACACATAGTGCTTATACATGAAATTATAAAGCAATACAATAATGTCTATTACTCCAAATACAGAATATTAAAGCAGTAGCCAGTATAGGTATAAATATTAAATAATAGATGGCGTGTATAAATAATTAATACATGGAGTAGGTACATGTACCTAACATGTTGTTTATTGCATTTAGAAGGAGATTATATCTGGATATTAATTAAAAACAAAAATTGGAACGTATGTACTGGGCCGACAAAATAAAATGCTATTGAAAATTAAGAATTTTAAATAATAAAAAAAGGGAGTCTAAGTGTATGCCATACCCCATGCCATTTCAAATCGTACTCATTTACACAGATACAAAGTGTTCCAGTTCTAATACCACTTTTATATATACTGTTCCATAGCCAATCTTATGTGCAAGAACTTTTATATTAAGCTAACATGGAAAAAACTTTTATATGAAGCTAATATTTCCAGCCGAAGAGGTTCTGAAGTACTTGCGCTTAAAATCAATAATATAAAATCAATTTTATGCAAGACGAGAATTATTGATTTAATATGACTTTTGCAACTATATGGAGCCTCGTCAAGAATACAAATTTCCAATTTTAAATTTTTATTTTTAGGAATCGTCAAAATTTGAATTGATAAATTGGAAAAATAATGAAATGTTACTGCAATCCTCGTCCATGCAAACTGAGTTTTAGTTTGGTGTAAGCATATAAAATAGATTTCTACTTCTTATCAGTGCAATTCACTTTGAACGGAAACACTGTATTTTACATACAAATACCTAGAATTCTATTTATATTTTGTTATTTCAAATTTAGTTTTTGAAATTTTATTCACAATTATTCAGAAATTATTTTTTATTTTTTAATATCCCATAGAGTTTTTATACAGACTTAAAAATCGATTAAAAAAATTCTATCGGAAAGTAGAATTAAATATTTTGTATACTTTTAATTGAAAAGTAAAAAAAAAAATTTTTTAATCCTAAAGCAAAATGTGATAAAGAATTACGGTATTTGTACTTATAACTGTACACATAACTGTACATTTTGTTTTAATTATAATACGACCTATGCCATATACATAGTCGAGTGGAAAATTTCAAAAATACATTCACGTATATAAGGAGGAAAGTTGGTCTAGGAAAGGATTACTAAAAAGATGGAAATTGAATAGTATTCAAAGTAGATAAAATAGCAAAAATCCATTTAATACTTATTATTGATTTTGAAATACGTAAAGTGCATATTATAATTTTTATAGTATAGCCCCCTCTTACTATATAGTTTTAGTTGCTATATGTTTGTATATCACATAAGAGTAAAATTTCTATCATAATAAAAAATTTAATCCAATGATTTTTATCTATTTTAAATATGCACTTAAGATGTTTTACAGTTAACTAATCCTTATAGAATTGCAAAGTTTTTATTTCTGCGTACATATACGTTATACATACATATTTGCATATTGTATAAATATGTATGGAACAAATTGATTGGGATTTGTTATTCTAAAATAAAATAAAAATTTTTTATACATTATTCGAATAAAATTAATATCTTTATATGTATACAAGTCTGTAGGGTCTTAGGACTCTAGGTTATAAATATTTGAAATTTTTGAATTATAAAAGATAAAATAACATTAATGGATGTATATGAATTCTTTCACTCAAAAAAATATAGATTATATCATAAAGTTTAATACAAAATTTTTAAAATATTCTTAAAAATTACACTTGATTACCATATTCTGAATTAATAATTTATAACCAATTGTAGATTGCACATTAGGGTGATGATACACCGGAACCTAAAAGATTGTGTGCCTCTCCTCAACGGGTGTCCAATGTTTTTCTTAGAGTAGTCACTCCAACTCTAAATTCAAACGAAGACGGTGGCCCTCTGTCTGTTCGAAGTTACAGTGAATATCTTGTTCTTATTCACATCATTTTTTGAAATTGTATATTAGAAAAAGCACAGGAGCTCTTTATTTAATTTCAAATTTGGTGATTATATATCGGCATAATTAAAATTTTCAATATTCCGTGTTGGTACCGTTTGGATTTCAGTTATTTCCAGTCCCTAAAATAGTTGTAATATAATGATGTGAAGTAAATTTATGTGTACAAATTAATTAAATCAAAATTTATTAAACTTACCAATTAATTTACTTAATAAAATTTCAAAAATTTCCTATTCTCGTACGTTTGGCTCGTGCCTATATCCAAATAAATCCAATCGCACACATTATCAAATTTCCAAATAATTTTTTTCTCTTTAAAAGTATTTAAAATTTCAATTAAAAAACAGAAAATTTCTTTTATCTCATTTCCATATTATTATTATTTAAAAATTATAATTTATTATTAATTCTTTGGTAATCTTTAACAATATTATTATTATTTTTAATTCCTGACAATTATATCCTTAAGGGATTCAAAAGGATTTAATTGTTTAATGTAAAAAAAAATATTGAAACTTTTTGGTTTTATTTATATTTTATGTTGTTTCAATTTGCTTTCTCTGGTCCATGTTTTTCAGCCTCATGGCAAAAAAATTTTTTTTCAAGTGCATGTTAAATAAAAATTTTTGGTATTCAATTATTCATCTTAATGATTTCATTAATTTCATTATAAAAATCACCAAATGATTTTGTGTGTTCCGCGCAATATAATTTAATTTTCCAAAAATTATTAATTATGGCTGTGAAAAATATTATTTTAAATTCAATTTTGCGTATAGAAAACCACAGATTTGTAGCGTTCATGTTTTAGAAATTTTTGTTGTTATGAAATTTATTGAATCCGTATTTATGTAGGATTATAAGTAATAAAGAGTATTTGAAATTATTTTTAATAATTATTTGACACTTTAAATTGAAAAATTTTACTTTTCATGATTATTGCTCGATGAACACTTTCATACTGCGCCATTCTGTCAAAATTTTTGTTCACTGTGAGGCAAATTATAAAATGTCGCTGTTATTTATATATGCACATTATTTATATTTGACATTCACTCATCTTAATAATTTTTGTTCTTCACTCTTGAGCTAAAATTTATACTCTGGAGTGATTATCTACCAATAAAATTTCACCTAATCTAATGTTGAGGGGAAACATGAACTTGTAAGTAAGGTGTTGTATTGTTTTAGTGTATGAGTATAAGTATTTAATGATCTCTTGTAAATCACAGTTTCTTCAATAATTTATTAATTTTTCTCTAGTTTTTAGTAAACATTTAATTTAAATTTTTCATTCAACTCACAATTAAGGTGAAAACACAAGAAGGGAAAAATAAGTGAAAACCGAACAAAGTAAGAATTTTCCGCGGTGGGATCTCAAAATTCATATAGCATTTTCACGAACGGTGAAATTTAAAACATTGAACAGTTGATTATCCGAGTTGACTGTTGTTCTGTGTTAACACTTAAAGAGTAAAAACTCCGCTGACGTTTTTACACTTAAAGAGTAAATATTTGGAATGAAACATTTCTCTATAATATTGGTCTATTACTTTTGTTTCGAAATTAAGTACGTGTGTGTAAATAAAATGAAACACGTTGTAATTATAAATTTATTAAACTTATAAAAATTTCAACTGTGTTTATGACATATCCCGCCATGTATAAATGAATAAACCACAAATAAAAATTGAAAATGAAAATAAAATTTTTTTTTTTTGGAATAAATTCGATAAATGTTTTTTATCAGTGGTTTTAATGATTTACTTAATTTTTGATTTAAAATTTACATAATAAAAGGAAAACAGTAGTAAGAGTTTAAATGTGTGTACATAAGTAGCCGCATATATATTGTGTATATATACATAATTATTCATATTTTGTATACATGAGGGCATTATTTTTGTTTTTAATTAGCACTTATTTTTTTGATTGTTTTGGTCTCTCCAACATTGTTAAAAAAAATTTACTTAATTAACATCATTGTTATTTTCCGATTCAATTTTAATCAATAAGTATGCAAAATGATTTAATTAGATTTTAATTTACATATTTTAAATTTTATTATAATATATATATATACGTATATAAATACATATACAATATTGGATTCCATGTAAGTTTATTGAATATCTTGTCCAAATTAATTATTTATTTCGCATTCAATTGTTAAATGATTTTGATTATAAGTGATTGTATTTTTTGTAGAGATTCAGAAATTGTGGTCATAATCGGCAACACTATTATATTATCATATCATGGTGAAAAGTATAATAAACACGGTGACTACTTGGTTGATAGTTATGTTATATTAACCACTACATAACATTCTCAACCTCCTGGAAGAGAGTTCATAAAGGCTTTATTCCGGAATATTTTCTCTCAGAAATCATCATATTTCCTCCTTAATTTAATAAGCAAACAGAATTAACCCTGCAATACTTTATTTTCGAATCTTACTGGATTACTTTCCTTACTGGATTTTTGGAAATTTGAACTCAATTTCAGAGAAAAATAATTACTAAACATTGTTAACTTAAACTTTAGTGTTTAATGGTGTCAAAGATCTATTTACACAAAGAAAAAATAAAAATTAAGGAGTCTATGAACTTCATCTTTCTCTCTCTTTTTTAATGAATTTCTTAAATCCTAAATAATTCTTCTTTCCTATACTTGGAAAAATTATTACAAAACTTTGGTACTGAAAAATGCCAAGATTACAAAATCACCATTTTTTTTCGTCTCCTCTTCATCTTTTGTTTCTCATATTTGTTTTGTATTTTCTTCCTAGTAAAAGGATGCGAAAAAAAAAATTCTCTCATAAATAACAAACTAATAATTTACAAGAATTTTGTGTTGTTTTTTCTTTCTTTTGTCGTTTTTGAACTATACAGCATTCTTCTCATTCTTCTTATATGCTGTAGAGCTAGAGAATTTTAATATTTTCTACTTGAGTAGGAGAGAAAGAATGCCAAATTTTCAATAATAGTTTTCCAATTTTAAATTACAGTCATAAATGTTTTTTTGCCTCGTTGCGTCGCGCAGCCGTTCATATAGATCCGATTTTAACTTTTTTTTTAAATTTTCATATTTTTTGTAGAGATTCCAATATATTTATATGTCTAAAGTTTTTCACCTTATATACACAAGAATAGAATTTTTGTTTTTTTAATTTTGAACGCATAAACTTAACATGTTGTTGTCTGCTTCCTTAATTTTAGATATCTAGAACTATAAAAAAGTATTTGGCAAAGTTTTTTAAAATTTATTTTGTCTTTTGTTTCTTAAATTGCACTAATACCTTTTTAAACATGTTCTTGTATGTGCACTCTATACATCCTTTATAATATATGAAAGTATTAAGAAAATTTTACATTTTGTCTACATATAAAAACTATTTTATTTAAGTTGCCAGAACTGCCAGAATACACACGTACGTATGAACTTGTACAGATGGAATTAAGCTTTGCTCTTCCAATAAAATATTTGACTGCTCTTACCAACAAATAAACGACATAAAAAATAATTTAATAAGTTTTTGTTTGTAAGAAAATTAAAAAAAAGAAACAATAAAATAAACTATGAAATTTATTGATTCTACAAAAGATTTGCTTATTGTCGGATGAAATGTTCAGGTCCGAAGAGAATAAATTAAAAATTTACTGAAAAAATTTAATATGTTCTTAATTAGTTTTTGTTTGTGTCAAGGCAGTATTCTTTGGCTTAAGTATCCTC